TATGTATTGAGTCAGAATACTTGAATGTTTTTCCCCCATCCACCCAAGTTTATATTTCCCCTTATTTTTTCAGTAGCAGCAGTCAAATTTGAGCTTTATTTTCGAGTTTGAATCCCAAATTTTTTTTATTTTTGATGTTGTTTTTGTCCCCCCTTCCATCACTCACATTGACCATCCAATTAGTCAAAGATCTTCTTCGTCATCATCATCATCATTATAGACGTCATTCAATTAATCTTTTCTGCTTCAAAATTTTTTTTTCTTTTGTGGTTTTGGTGGTTTTGTTTCTTAAATTTAAAATTCTTCCGATCATTACTTTAGTTGACGTATCAAGAATCTGTCAAGAATCGATTTGGTTTTTTGCAGCTAAGAATTTTTCAAATTTGAAACGAACATTTTCCTGTTGGTTGAGTAAAGTCACACCAAAAATAAAATTTATCGATTCATAAGTGTGATCAACATTTTTTCAAACACAACATTCATTCATCATTCATTCGTTGTGTTAACATTGTGATTCATTTGAAATCAATCATCTGGTTTTCATCAGATTCATTCATTCATTCATTGTCATTAAGCCGAAGAACAAAATTCACTGCTTGTAACAGTAAAACCCAAGCCAATTGAATTGAATTCAATCACGAAGAAAAAAATCAATATTGCCATGGTTTCAAAATGGGCGACGACAACAACAACGACGACGACAATGATGATGATGACGATAATGATGGTAAAGGTGGCGGTGAAGAATTGTTAATCAATTTTCAAATCAAAAAAGAGAGAAAAAAAAATGATAAATTTTCTTCAAAAATGATTGAATATTTCCAGCTATTTTGTTGTTGTTAACAACAACGACGATAAACAAACAAACAAACCAAAATTATTATGATGGCCAGGAAAAAACAAAACTACAAATAATTTTTTGGCTCAATCAATTTCTCAACAACAACAACAACAAATTGAATTTAATTAATTGAAAAAAATTTTAAAGCAATTAACCTTCACATACACCTACACACACACACACACTCACAGGTAAGTGTTGCTGATTTGCTTTTGGATAATTTACCTGAATTAATTAGTTAATTAATTATTTTTGGAACAGAAAACGAAAATATCAAAAGAAAAGAGCTTCGATTATCATTAATCGGATTATCATCTTTCCCACAAAAAAACTTAATTTCCCAAATTAAGTTAGTTCAATATTCTTTTTGTCTTCATTTGATGTGCCAGCAAGCAAGTGAAAAAAATCAAATGTAAAATTCAAAAATCGAAAAAAAAATTGAAAAATCCTAAAGTCAAAAACAATGGCAGATTGTGTGAAAAAATTTTTTTCACCACGTTTATTGGATTATATTGTTATTGTTGGTACACGAACACCATCATCAACACAATCAGTACAGCTACCAGAATTATTACGTCGTTATCCACCTGAAGATCATAAAGATTTTCNCAAAACCGGATGATAATGATAATGATGGTGGTGATCTGGAATCCGGTACAGATCCGAACATTATGAAAAACGTTGATAATGCAGATGATAATGATGCTGATGAACGACAAGCATTAAAAATGAATCGTAATTGATTTTGTTGTTTTTTTCCCTACTTCTTTTTACTTCCTTTTATTTGTATTTTTGGTTTTACCGAAAAAAAAAATTTAAAAAATAAAAAAATTTTATGAAAAAAAAATGTTTTCATTTTGATTGTCAACCACTAGATGGCGAGTGGTGGCTCGGAAATAAATATGATCGATATTTTTGCACTAATTTTGGTCGAAACAAAAAAACGATAATCAAAAACTAAAATGCGTCCAACATTCAATTCCACCCACACTTGGATGAAGAGAGAGGGAGAGAGAGAGGTCGAATGAAAAAAATCATCATATATAATATAATAAACGGATGTATTGAACATCCGAACATTTTTTGAAAAATCGATCAAGTTATAAGGCCAAGTGAAAGCAAAGCAAGTGAATGATAAATTTATCAAAAAGCAACCAAACAGCAAAAAAAAAAACAAAAACAGGAAACTATATAGGATACAGATGGTTGCAAAAAAATGTCATTTTCTGGCTAGAAGTAATACAATATTGGTTAACAAAGGTAAAGGCAGAGCAAAATTGTGATAAGAAATAATATTTTTTCATTTGTCATTTTGGCGTGTGTGTTTGGTGATATCGTCAGGAATTGTCGTTTCGAAAAAAATAATTTTGTTTGGTTGGTTTTTTGAAAGTTCTGTATATAGATAAGATTTTGGGTGAATTTTGGCTGGTTTTTGTTGTATTTTTTTATTGGTATACAAAGGGCTCGCACCCAAAGTTTTTTTCTTCGTCGACTTTCGTAACAACCAATGTTCCATTTGGAACACAGCGAATGCATTTGACTATATAGCTCCTGTGTTATATATACATTCATTGAATTTAGGTTGATCTTCATTTTGGAAAACACTTGGAACGCCATTTTTGTTGTTGTTGTTGGATTTTTTTTTTGCCTTCATTGTACAACTACATCGTCCTTGTTGGTATGTGTGTGTGTGTTTGTGTCTATATAACCGGGAAAAAACCAGAAAAAACTGGGTATCCGAAGATTTTTTTTTCAAAAAAAATCCCGTATGTATTGAGTCAGAATACTTGAATGTTTTTCCCCCATCCACCCAAGTTTATATTTCCCCTTATTTTTTCAGTAGCAGCAGTCAAATTTGAGCTTTATTTTCGAGTTTGAATCCCAAATTTTTTTTATTTTTGATGTTGTTTTTGTCCCCCCTTCCATCACTCACATTGACCATCCAATTAGTCAAAGATCTTCTTCGTCATCATCATCATCATTATAGACGTCATTCAATTAATCTTTTCTGCTTCAAAATTTTTTTTTCTTTTGTGGTTTTGGTGGTTTTGTTTCTTAAATTTAAAATTCTTCCGATCATTACTTTAGTTGACGTATCAAGAATCTGTCAAGAATCGATTTGGTTTTTTGCAGCTAAGAATTTTTCAAATTTGAAACGAACATTTTCCTGTTGGTTGAGTAAAGTCACACCAAAAATAAAATTTATCGATTCATAAGTGTGATCAACATTTTTTCAAACACAACATTCATTCATCATTCATTCGTTGTGTTAACATTGTGATTCATTTGAAATCAATCATCTGGTTTTCATCAGATTCATTCATTCATTCATTGTCATTAAGCCGAAGAACAAAATTCAGTGCTTGTAACAGTAAAATCTCACAAGTAAAATTGAATTCAATCACGAAGAAAAAAATCAATATTGCCATGGTTTCAAAATGGGCGACGACAACAACAACGACGATGATGATGATGATGATGACGATAAAGGTGGTGGTGGTGAAGAATTATTAATCAATTTTCAAATCAAAAAAGAGAGAAAAAAAATGATAAATTTTCTTCAAAAATGATTGAATATTTCCAACTATTTTGTTGTTGTTGTTAACAACAACAACAACAACACGACGACAACAACTACGACAACGATAAACAAACAAACCAAAATTATTATGATGGCCAGGAAAAACAAAACTACAAATAATTTTTTGGCTCAATCAATTTCACAACAACAACAACAAATTGAATTTAATTAATTGAAAAAAATTATCAATTTTAAAGCAATTAACCTACACATACACCTACACACACACACCCAGGTAAGTGTTGCTGATTTGCTTTGATAATTTACCTGAATTAATTAGTTAATTAATTATTTTTGGAACAGAAATCGAAAATATCAAAAAAGAAAGAGCTTCGATTCATAATCGGATTATTACTTAATTATCATCTTTTTGGATAGAAAAATCCTAAAGTTGACAATGGCAGATTGTGTGAAAAAATTTTTTTCACCACGTTTATTGGATTATATTGTTATTGTTGGTACACGAACACCATCATCAACACAATCAGTACAATTACCAGAATTATTACGTCGTTATCCACCTGAAGATCATAAAGATTTTCCATTATCACCGGATGTTGTATTTTTTTGTCAACCAGAAGGTTGTATTAATACAGATATAAGACGTTTATCACAACGTGATACAAATTCATTTGTATTTACATTAACCGAAAAAGATACATCACGTGTACGTTATGGTATTTGTATGAATTTTTATAGAAATTTTGATCTACATACACCACGTTGTTCAAAATCGGGTGATGATAATGATGATGGTAATGGTGGTAAACAAA